TTTGGGAGGCGGTATACCTCCCTGGTGGTTTTCTGTCTACCAACCCACACCTTTAAGATTAACCCCATCCTTCAAAAATCCATCCGCCGACCGTCAACTCCAAGAAACTGAAAAAAAATTCACTTTTCCATACTCCCCTCCCCAATTTTTAAACTAAAATTTTTCTTTATCCCCAAATCATTTTTATACTCCATACCTTACTCTTTTTTATGTTCCTTTTAACTTTTACCTTTTCCCCCAAAATTTCCCCAAAATCCCACTACCTTTGCAATTTTTCTTTAGAAACTCCCATAAAAAACCCGTTCTACAAAAAGTAAATGGTAAATTCCCCCTTTTGAATTTGATTCCCCCTAATTTTCCCCCCCCTCTTCCGAACACCCTGCTTTATTCTTTTACAACCCCATTATAAATATATTAAACAACCCTGGTGACATTACACATCCCTGTCTAAGACCCCACTTTTACCCGGGGAAATAGTCTCCTCTCTTCACACCCCTAACTGAGCTCACTTCCCCATAAAAACTCTTTACGATTTAGTAACTTACCACCATTCCATATACTTGCAACATTACCCCATTTTCCCCTATCCCCAATTTTATTTCCTTTTTTAAATCCCTAAAAGCAAAAAAACTTCCCCTCCTTTATCTAAATACTGTTCACTTATGTTAATGTAAACATTGATCTACACATCCCCCCCACTCTGAAACCCCCGCTCTCTTTCAATCCTACATTTTGCTTACCTCTAATTCTTTCAATAAAAACCCTACCGTACGCTTTTCCTAGTTACCAGTGAACTTTTCCCTATAATTTTTTCAAATTTTTTTGTCCCCCCTTTCCCCTTTTATAAGGGCTATCTCTCTCCGCCCAAACCCTAGTCCTTCCCCCCCTTTTATCATTTTTTAAAAAAAAATAAATATAAATGCTAGATAAAAGGTTTACACTAACATACATTAAGCTAGCTAAGAACTAGGCATTAAAAAAAAACAAAATAAAAAGTAAAAAGCCCCAAAAGTACACTTCTTACTTACCCTAAAATATTTAAAATGACTGTGTAGAGGTGGCAGCAGTGTAAAAGTTTTTCCCTGTCAGCAATAAGTCACTTTTATTTTTTTTTGTTACCTAGGGTTTTCTCCACATATGCTGTATATGTAAGGATTTGATGGCTATCTCAGCCCTTGAATATCTTTTTATAAATAAGTAAGAAGTTTATTAGGGATACCAAATACGAAAAAAGATTATCTTGTACATACAGTAGTGTAAGAACCTAGGATAACCCAAAAAAGTCACTTCACTAAAATTTGGGCCCTTTTAAAAAAAAGGCTTTGACTCTTCTTTTTTTACAAATAGGCTTTGATGCCATCATCAATGGAGCCAACTAATTAACAAAATAATAAAAAAGAAGAACGAGATACACGGAGTTTACAAGTAAAAACAGAAATGAACAGGTGGGGGCGATCACTCGGAAACGAAATAAAAACATTTTATAAAGTGTTCCAATTTTAGTTTTTTCATGATGTTTGTAAGAGTTTTTGAAAATTTTTTCTACTATTTTTTTTATTTTAATAGTAATTACCTCACAAAACAAATACTGGACCCCCCCTTTCATATAGCTCCCAACTCGAACAATTATGTAAGTATTTTTTAAGGTATTTTTTGGGGGGTCTGAACAGAAATCTAATTTACATTATTCTTTATGGAACAAATTGTTTTGGGAATGGCCTGAAACAGCCTTCTGGAAGAATTATGACCAAAAATTGGGGACCCCGTACTCTTTCTTGTTACAAGTTAGTACATGAGAATAAATAAACAGCAACACTCCTTCTCATGCAACACACCTTTTTTAGTGAATGATGATGATATTATTATTTTTATTATTTTATTATTATTTTTATTTTTTTATTATTATTTATTATTATTATTTCATAGTAAAAAAGAAGCATAAACCCCAAGGGTCATGAAAAGTTTAGATGAGTGAAGGCATACAAAGGAATATTTTTCTATGGTTTTCCCCCAGTAGCTGGTATTGGACTAAGAAAAATAATTCTTCCCACACCCCACAAGCCGCTTAGTGGGGTTGTACATTCATTTTATTTTATGTAACGTGTTTTTTATATTATTTTGAAAAAATATATAGGTGGATTAATGGGAAAAGTCTATTTAAGTAATATGTGCATTTTAAAGGCCCCCGAGTATTATTATTATTTTTTAATTATGGCTTTTTTCAAGAGTAGAGGAAATCTTGTGATTTTAATGTGTACCCGCATGCCCGCACAGTTGTAAGTTATTTAGGGCAGGCTTTTATTATTATATTATCACACTGGCCCATTTCCCAAGGCAGGGTGGCCCAAAAAGAAAAAATTTCACCATCATTCACTCCCTCACTGTTTGCCCGAAAGGGGGCTTTACACTACAGTTTTTAAACTGAACATTAACCCCCTCCTTTAGAGTCAGGAACTGTACTTTTCCCCTCTAACTCAAGTCCGGCCTGCCCGGTTTCCCCCGAACCCCTTAAAATGTACTTTGCCCCCTCAACAGCCGCAAGTATTAAAAAAACCTTTGTCTCCATTCACTCCCACAAACACCTCACGCGCCTGGAAGTCCAAGCCCCTCGCACCAAAACCTCCTTTACCCCCCCCCTCCAACCTTTCCCAGGCGACCCCTACCCCGCCTTCCTTCCACTACAGATGATACCTCTTTTAAGTCATTTTGTTTCGTCCTTTCTTACATGTCCCAACCACCCCAACAACCTTCCCCAGCCCTTGGACAAAAGTTTTGGGAATCCCCACCTCCCCCTAAATTCCAAACTAGAATTTTCTGCTTTATTCACACCCCCACATTTCCCTAAAACATGACTCTCCATGCCCCCAGCCTTCTCCTCGCGCAACATTTACACCCCCTGCTTCACCCCCTATAAGAGCGTTGGGAAAAAATAACTCCTTTCATTCCCCCCTTTCCTCCCAAAGGGCAAAGTTTTTTGTTCCCCAAAACTCCTAAGTGCACCCCTCACCCTTTTCCCCCCATCAGTTTGTGATTACTTTTCTTTCATAGACCATCCGCTGACACGTCCCCTCCCCAAATATTGAATACATTCACCCCCCTCCATACTCTCTCCCTCCCAAACTGATATCCAATCTTTAAACACCTAAACTTTTTTTTATTCTAAAACCCTTTCTCTTTCCTGTATCCCCTTTAAATTTTTTTCTTTTCACACCTACCCAAACATCCCCAATCTCTGCAACTTCTTTCAGAATTCCAAAGGAAGTTCATCAGCAAAGACAAATGTGACAACCCCACTTTGTGTGTGATTTTTTACTTTAACTCGACCCTCTTGCAAGACCCTCGCATTCATTCCTTACAACCCCCTCTATTTAAAAATATTAAAAACCACGGGACTCACATCCTTGTCTAAGGCCACTTTCTGGGGTTTTCCCCCCTTTCCTACATACCAACTTGGCCTCACTACCTTAAAAAAAATCTTCATTTTCAGTAACCCACCTCCACACCATACACTTGCAACATCTGCCCCCATTGCCCCCCCATCCACCCCGTCTACGCCTTTTCCAAATCCATAAATGCCACAAAGACCCCTTTACCTTATCTAAATACTGTTTATTTTTATGTTTCACTGTAAAACCCTGGTCCCACACCCCCTACCTTTCCAAAGCCTCCCTTTTTCATTGCTATCCCCATTCTCCGTCTTTCTCTTAATTCTTTCAATAAAACTCTACCATTCACTTTTCCAGTATACTCAAAAGACTTACCCCCCATAATTTTTGCACTCCTTTTTTTCCCCCTTTTCCTTTTTACAAAGGAACTATGCTGCTCCTGCCAATCCCTAGGTACCTCCCTCTTCCATACTTTATTAAAAAAATTGCACCAACCACTCCAAAACTATTCCCATGCTTTTAAAAATTTCTATCTTTTCCCATCAATCCCCCTCTTTACCCCCCCTTTATTTTACCTAAGCCCCACGAAAATTCCTCCACACTCAAATGGCTCTTTCCCCACTCCTGCAAGATGTTATTCCCCCTTCCCTTACACGAAATCACAGCTTCCCCATCTTTATCAAAAATTTAACTTCCTCAAAATATTCCCCATCTTCCCCAATACCTCTAACCTCCATTTAAAAACTCCTCTCCTATTTTTAACTGACAAATCCCTTTGTTCTCTTGGCTTCCCTTCTTGTTAAAACTCATCCAAAACTTTTTTTTTTTCAACAAAATTTGTTGATAACATTCACCCACTTCCCCATTGCTCTCTTTTTACATTGCTTCACCACTCTCTTACCCTTCTCTTTTCCATATATTTCCCCCTTGCATCACTTCTGCTTTGAAAAACTTTTCATATGCTAACTTTTTTCCCCTTTACTTTCCCTTTTCATCATCATTCCACCAAACGCTCCTCTACCTCCCCACCACTTTTCGTAAACCCCAAACTTCTGCTGAACATCTAACATACATTTTAAACTACCCATACCTTCGACCCCCTTGCCCCATGCTCTCTTTTCCCTCATCCTCCAATAGTGTTTATTAAAAAATTCACTCTATATAACTAACCTTAAAGCCTTGAAATTTTTGGAAAGCTTCCAAAATAATGGAGATGTGCTCATGGAGAATGTCAAAAAACCCGGTGGGGCGCGTAACCCTATTGAAAAACAGGTGGGGGGGGGCTGTATAGTGAGTTTTGGTCTTGTTTGAAATATCCATTTTTGTGGAATGCGTAAAACAAAAAACCAGAAGCAAACACGTAAAGGGTTCTACTGTATAAAAGTAACCCCTTTTTCCCGTAAAATTAAGTCTAAAAACAAAAACTTTATTTTTTTTTTAGATACCCCGCCTGTTTGTTTAAAAAAAATGATTAATGTAAAAACTTTGTCTTTATGGTTGCCGTGCACAAAAACCGGAGTTGATTATGACTGTTGCTTTATTTTATCAGTGTGCAGGCCCTTTAATTTTCTTTCATTCTTTTTTTTTTCTACACCCCTCCCATTAGTTACATTCATGTCTGACGGCTCGGTTGAAAGGGCTCTACCATATGCATACCTAAAAATGTACATGCATATTAGAGGTGATTTCCCCTTTTTTTGTTTGTTCAATATACAGTAACTACTGTAAAAAATATACTAAAAAAATGTAATAAATGGTGCAAAGTGACATTAAAAAAATTCAAAGATAGTAGACAAAACCCATCCCTTTATATTCTCCTTGCTTTTCAATGAATTCGTTTACCAAGTGGTTTGGGGAAGGAACTCCCTCGTTAAGTGGGGAGAGTGTTTTCTAAATCTTACAATTTTGGGGGGGTGTTTTATTTCCCCTGGTAATGCAATCACTATGTTATGTGAAAGTTTTTCATCATTATATTTATTCACATATTGTTCATTTCGTCAGATTGATTTTAGGTAAAGAAGTTTGTGTCATCAGCAAAGGTCTAGTTTAAGTTTTTTTTAAGTGGATTGACAAGTCATTTATATAAAGAGAGACACAAGTGGACTAGGAGCTGTCTTAACAAAAGCAAATTTTTTTTGTGGAGTGGAAGAAAATATACAGCTTTCGTTACATATTAGTGCCCGCCTTAAAGAATAAACAGTGAGTATATTGTTTATGTGTGGTTTTGATTATAGTTTGAGGAAAGGTTGTTTGTTACGTATCTTTAAAACCTAGGGAAATGGGAAAAAAATTTTCCCCGTGACCCTGTATGTCTTAAGAGGCGACTAAAAAAGCTGGGGGGAAAGGGGGTTAGTAACCCCTTCTCCGTATAAATTACTAATTTAAAAACCCGAAACTTTCTTTTTTTTTTTAGGGCACCCTGCCTCTGTGGGATATGGGCAGTTTGTTGAAAAAAATATAGTGAAATCAGTACATGTTATGGCTTTTCTTTAGATACACTTCAGTCTGCTGCAGTGAGCCTTTGTGAGTCTGAAATATACTGTTTATTACTTCCTCCTTCTATTTTATTTTCTTCATGTGAGTTCCTTTATGCTTTAAATTATACAATCATGAACAATAAGTATCCTTTTTTAAATTCTAAATTTTGCTAAATTCTCGGCAGGTAGTCCTAGTGCCACCACGTCTCCAGTTGGGACATCAGAAAAAATTGTGAAATCTCGGAAGAGTGGGAGTAATAAACCTAAGCGTCTTTGTCCGCCTATCACTCTAGATTCAGCAGGAAGACCTATCTTCCCCATTATTCTAGGGCCACTTACTATTCATAGTCTTGGAGAGGTGAGTGATATGCTGTAATTATTTACAATGCTTCCTCTTACTTGCCTCGGTAGGAAACAGCCAATGTATTGATTTGGGATATTGGCAGTTTGGAGGGATATCTAAACTGTCATATCTGAGCGTGTCTCCAAAGACAGTGATTATGTATGAGTGAGGGTGAAAGTGTTGAATGATGATGAAAGTTTTTTCTTTCTTTTTAGGTTTTTCTTTCTTTTTGGGTCACCCTGCCTAGGTAAGAAGTGGCCGATGTGTTAAAAAAAAAAATTTTTCTTCCTTAGGTCAACAAAAAATAATTTATACCCTTTTTTTAATGCAGTATAACTTTCCAAATTTGTTAAACATTTCATTGAATCTCCAGATTGCTGCATAGCCTTTATTTAAAATAATTCTCACTAGCCATCCATTAGAGTATGTACAGCCTCTCTTCACTTATCGGCGTACTCGTTTACCGACAACTCAGACTCACGACGGGCTTTCTGACCAGCATGCATACCTAAATAATGTATATTAGAACTAATTTCCTCTATTCTGTTTATTACAATACATGTACAGTGGCAGTGGTACCTTGACTTACGAGTTTAATTCATTCCGTGACCGAACTCGTAACTCAATTTGCTCGTATATCAGATCAATTCTCCTCATTGAAATTAATTGAAATGCCATTAATCTGTTCCAGCAGAATTCCTGGCTCTCAGGAGGCAGGAGAAAATACTTCAATATAACACTAATATCAACTGTAAGGCTTATTTATCTATCACAGTTGATCTAATATGACATAATAAACAATATAAATAACATAGAAACATGATACATGTATATACTCTAGAATGAATATAAAATATGTCCTTATGTGATGAGTGATGGCAGCCACTCCTGAGGTAAAAATAATTATTGCTCTGACCATATCTTCCCATTCTTGCCCTTCTGAGGTCTTATTACAAGAGAAAACAGTGTTTGTGAGGCTAACTGCACTAGATCACTAGTTTCATAAGGAAAACACTGAAACAAAAGCAGTTTTCTCATGTTTTTCTGTGATTTCATGCTTTAATTCAATGGACTTCATCCTCTTCTTCTGCTTCTCAGCACTGTCCTTTGCACTTACTTTCTTAGGACCCATGGTCGGAAAAAAGAAATTTGGCAAAATATCTGCAGAAAAAGCACAAAACGCTGGGATGCTGGGTGGATGTTATGGCATTCGCTGCAACAGTTAGTGGCAGCGTATCTGAAGCTCACTCGTAACTTGGATTTTGGCTCGCAGCTCAAAGCAGAAAATCAACCAAGCAATGGCTTGTAACTCGGAAAACTCATAAGTGGGGGCACTCAGTGCCCCCACATATACATTTATACATTTATACAGTAAACTACTGTACAAACATTTAAAAATATACCAGAAATGTTATAAATGGTGCAAAGGTGACATTAAAACAATGTCAAAGATGGCTGACAAGCCCACTACCATTATAGCATGCTCCTCACTTAGTGATGAATTCGTTTACCAACGTGGTCTTAGGAACGGAACTTCGTTGCTAAGTGAGGAGAGGCTGTATTGGGTATTGAAGCAGTTTAGGCATTTACAGAGGATGGAGAGAGTTAGGATGATGAGGGCTTATAAATTTAAGGTGTAAGGTAGGAAGGGTAGGGGGGTCATCACAGGGGTCATCACAGGGGTCATCCGAAATTAAAAGTACTGATTGTTGTGATTTTTTTTTTTTTTTTTTTTTAATTTTATCTTCTGAAATGGTAGAGAATCTTTTTCTGAAAGTTTTCTGGACGTAATGACACCAAAGGTGAGAAATTTAACAGAAAATTTATGGAAATACGCAGGCACAAAGTTGGTGATCTGGGCACGGTTTGCCTATCGGCAGTTTCTCACTTTGAGGCCTATTTTACAGAATTATGTCTAGGACCAAATTTGCCGATCATAGTATGTTTAAGGACACTGCAACTAAGACATAGCTCTATATGGGCAACATTGGTGCCATTGATATATATCTGCATGGGAGATAGTGAAAGATTTAAACCTAATTGATTCTAAGTTAAGTTTACTTGTAAGTGATGCTGAAAACTAAATACTTTCTCTCCGATTTATGTTAACATGCTGGCTTCATTTCAGAAAATTTCTCTAACTAACTGGTATGCATACTTTGACTATCCTTCTCTCTGATGGTCCTACCTTTAATGCAGCCTTTTTCTATGATTTCTTAAGTGGCACCAATTTGCTTCATCAGCTGCAGTCCCTTTCCCATTTCCTTTGTCAAATGCTTTTTCCTAAGTATCACCCCTCCCCTTTACCATCCTTTTTATTTCTTTCTGTTAGAGAAAATTACCTTTTCTGTGGTTAGTTCATTTCGTGCCTTTGATGCTGATGAAGGGCTCTTGATCATAGGAATTGAAGCCACCCTCCCCATTCCTCAGCAAACTTGATTACCTCCCATTCTCTGGACATTGTATGATGCCTTCTGGTTTTTTACTTCTTCATTAATTTCTTACAGATTGTGAGTGAACGTGAGGCATATCATAGAGAACAATGCATCTTCCCAGTTGGGTTTTGTTCTTCTAGAATATATGCAAGTCTCAGAGATCCACTCAACCCAGTGCTATACACTTGCAAGATCCTGGATGGAGGTGTTGTCCCACGGTAGTTATTTACTGTGCAATGTATCTTCATTTCCTCCAGAAATTCTCTTTGAGTAGCAACTACTTATAGAGTTCTCTTGGTGAATTTCAGTCGCTTAACTATCAGTATAATTATTGATTTAAAATTTCTTGAGCAATATTTGAAACATGGTGGAGAATTTTGTGTACTGGAGTTTTAGGACTCTGATCATGGGCTCTAACCCCACTTTCATTTCCAGGACTCAAGTCCGACTAGTCCTGGAAATGGGAAGTACAATGCCTGCACTTTAAAGGAGGGGTTTGGGATATTGGCAGTTTGGAGGGATATGTTGTGTATCTCTATACATATATGCTTCTAAGCTGTTATATTCTGAGCACCTCTGCAAAAGCAGTGATAATGTGTGAGTGTGGTGAAAGTGTTGAATGATGATGAAAGTATTTTCTTTTTGGGGATTTTCTTTCTTTTTTTTTTTTTGGGTCACCCTGCCTCGATGGGCAGGGTGGCCCAAAAGGAAAAACGAAAGTTTCTCCTTTTACATTTAGTAATATATACAGGAGAAGAGGTTACTAGCCCCTTGCTCCCGGCATTTTAGTCGCCTCTTACAACATGCATGGCTCACGGAGGAAGAATTCTGTTCCACTTCCCCATGGAGGTAAGAGGAAATAAACAAGAACAAGAACTAGTAAGAAAAAATGGAAGAAAACCCAGAGGGGTGTGTATATACATATATGCTTGTACATGTATGTGTAGTGTGACCTAAGTGTAAGTAGAAGTAGCAAGACATACCTGAAACCTTGCATGTTTATGAGACTGAAAAATGGACACCAGCAATCCTACCATCATGTAAAACAATTACAGGTTTCCGTTTTACACTCACTTGGCAGGACGGTAGTACCTCCCTGGGCGGTTGCTGTCTACCAACCTACTACCTAGGTTTCTAGTTCTTGTTCTTGTTGTTTATTTCCTCTTATCTCCATGGGGAAGTGGAGCAGAATTCTTCCTCCGTAATCCATGCGTGTTGAAAGAGGCAACTAAAATGCCGTGAGCAAGGGGCTAGTAACCCCTTCTCCTGTATAAATTACTAAATTTAAAAAGAGAAACTTTTTTTTTTTTTTTTTTTGGCCACCCTGCCTCGGTGGGATACGGCCGGTTTGTTGAAAGAAAAGATGATGTATATACATACCCCTCTGGGTTTTCTTCTGTCTTCTTGCTAGTTTTTGTTCTTGCTTATTTCCGCTTATCTCCATGGGGAAACGAAACAGAATTCTTCCTCCATAAGCCATTTGTGTCATAAGAGGTGACTAAAATGCCAGGAGCAAGGGGGTAGTAACCCCTTCTCTTGTATATATTACTAAATTTAAAAGGAGAAGCTTTTGTTTTTTCTTTTGGGCTACCCCGCCTTGGTGGGATACAGCCAGTTTGTTGAAAGAAGAATTTTTTCTTTTTCATGGAAGATAGGCAGTGTGATAAAAAAAAAATTAAATTATTCTGTTATTTTGTTGCTGCATTGTTCATATAAAACAATGAAAGGCAAAAAAACATTCAAGACTCAAATGTACAGGTAATATAAATTGAGGGAAATACTTAGCACTTGCACATGTTTATTCAGATTTTTGAAAGGTGATGCAGCAGAAAAGAATCAATAAATATTTCTTTTTTTTTTTTTTTGTATAAAGTCACCCAAATTCTGTGTCATTAATGACAATATTTGTTACTTCTTAATCCAGATAAATTTTTACTTCTGGCAAATCATTTTTTTGGGGTAAAAACATAATGAATATAATTCTTTCTTTCAACACACCGGCCATATCCCACCGAGGCAGGGTGGCCCAAAAGGAAAAATGAAAGTTTCTCCTTTTACATTTAGTAATATATGCAGGAGAAGGGGTTACTAGCCCCTTGCTCCCGGCATTTTAGTCGCCTCTTACAACACGCATGGCTTACGGAGGAAGAATTCTGTTCCACTTCCCCATGGAGGTAAGAGGAAATAAACAAGAACAAGAACTAGAAAGAAAATAGAAGAAAACCCAAAGGGGTCTGTATATATATGCTTGTACATGTATTGGCAGTTTGGAGGGATATGTTGTGTATCTTTATATGTGTATGCTTCTAGACTGTTGTATTCTGAGCACCTCTGCAAAAACAGTGATAATGTGCGAGTGTGGTGAAAGTGTTGAATGATGATGAAAGTATTTTCTTTTTGGGGATTTTCTTTCTTTTTTGGGTCACCCTGCCTCGGTGGGAGACGGCCGACTTGTTGAAAAAAAAAAAAAAAAAAAAAAAAAAAAAAAAAAAAAAAATAACATGTATGTGTAGTGTGACCTAAGTGTAAGTAGAAGTAGCAAGACGTACCTGAAATCTTGCATGTTCATGAGACAGAAAAAAGGACACCAGCAATCCTTGCATCATGTAAAACAATTACAGGTTTTCGTTTTACACTCACTTGGCAGGACGGTAGTAACTCCCTGGGCGGTTGCTGTCTACCAACCTACTACCTATATGAATATAATTGTAGGCTTGAAATAAGTATTTCTTATTTTTAATTATAGATTTGAAGTAGTGTGTGATGATGAGGAGGATGCAGTAGTGGTTGGGAACTCTCCAGCTGAGTGCCACAACCATATCCTACAAACCATTAACCTTGTCCTTGACATGGATCTTCTAACCATCAGGTAGAGAGCATTGCCTTATATGTGTGTTATACATTATTTCAGATTGCTTATTTGTCATCAGTAAACCTATTAGCATTTGGTAGACTTCATAGATGCCATGTTCACAGTATGTACTTTACCCACATTATTGAATTTACAGGGTAAGAGCTGTTATCCTACTTTTTGTTCAGTTCAAGACCCCTTTGAGAGTCCAAGCCATAGTTCTATGCCTTGCCCACAGAATCCAAGAATTTTCAAAAAAAAAAATTTTTTTTTTTTTTCTTATAAAATGGAACAATCTCTTTCTAAGGTAATAAAAGAAAAAGTACGAAATTTGATGGAAAAGTTACAAAATTACACTCGCGAATTTTACTTCATCAGTGATATTTACTCATCGGCGATTTTGCCCACTTTGACTCCTATTTTAGGCCAGTTACATTGTTCTTTGCTATTTCGCTACTATTACTTCTACTTTATCGATTGAGCACAAGAAACTGCCCAATCAACTATTTCAGCTACTCAATAAAGTGATCAGAAATTGGTAATTTGGCCATTTTTACACAGAGTTCAAAATATTCCGGTTTAAAAATAGGGTCCAGAATAAACAATGCAGGCATTCCTGGCACTAAAATAATATTTCCTCTGTTACTAGTTATGTTTCCAGGCTTTACAGATGAATTCCATTTTGATTTTTATTCACATGAAGAATTTTTATTCATCACAAAAAACAGAAGATTTATTGTTATGCAATACAGTGGACCCCCGCATAACGATCACCTCTGAATGCGACCAATTATGTAAGTGTATTTATGTAAGTGCGTTTGTACGTGTATGTTTAGGGGTCTGAAATGGACTAATCTACTTCACAATATTCCTTATGGGAACAAATTCGGTCACTACTGGCACCTGAACATACTTTTGGAGTGAAAAAATATCGTTAACCGGGGGTCCACTGTATTGTAATAATTGTATAAATAATATCATTTTTTTTTTTTTAACAAGTCAGCCGTCTCCCACCGATGCAGGGTGACCAAAAAAGAAAGAAAATCCCCAAAAAGAAAATACTTTCATCATCATTCAACACTTTCACCTCACTCACACATAATCACTGTTTTTGCAGAGGTGCTCAGAACACAACAGTTTAGAAGCATATACGTATAAAGATACACAACATATCCCTCCAAACTGCTAATATCCCGAAACCCCTCCTTTAGAGTGCAGGCATTGTACTTTCCATTTCCATGACTCAAGTCCGGCTATATAAAAATAACCGGTTTCCCTGACTCCCTTCACTAAGTATTACCCTGCTCACACTCCAACAGATCGTCAGGTCCCAAATACCATTCGTCTCCATTCACTCCTATCGAAGACGCTCATGCACGCCTGCTGGAAGTCCAAGCCCCTCGCCCCCAAAACCTCCCTTACCCCTTCCAACCTTTTCGAGGGCGACCCCTGCCTCTCCTTCCTTCCCCTACAGATTTAAATGCTCTCCTTGTCATTCTACCTTGATCCATTTTCTCTAAATGACCAAACCACCTCAACAACCCCTCTTCAGCCCTCTGACTAATACTTTTATTAACTCCACACCTTCTCCTAATTTCCACACACTGAATTTTCTGCATAATATTTACACCACACATTGCCCTTAGACAGGACATCTCCACTGCCTCCAACTGCCTCCTTGCTGCTGCATTCACAACCCAAGCTTCACACCCATATAAGAGTGTTGGTACTACTGTACTTTCATACATTCCTTTCTTTGCCTCCATAGATAACGCTTTTTTGTCTCCGCATATACCTCAATGCACCACTCACCTTTTTTCCCTCATCAATTCTATGATTAACTTCATGCTTCATAAATCCATCCACCAACACGTCAACTCCCAAGTATCTGAAAACATTCACTTCTTCCATACTCCTCCTCCCCAATTTCATATCCAATTTTTCTTTATCTAAATCATTTGATACCCTCATCACCTTACTCTTTTCTATGTTCACTTTCAACTTTCTACCTTTACACACACTCCCAAACTCATCCACTAACCTTTGCAATTTTTCTTTAGAATCTCCCATAAGCACAGTATCATCAGCAAAAAGCAACTGTGTCAATTCCCATTTTGTATTTGATTCCCTATAATTTAATCCCACCCCTCTCCCAAATACCCTAGCATTTACTTCTTTTACAACCCCATCTATAAATATATTAAACAACCATGGTAACATTACACATCCCTGTCTGAGACCTACTTTTACCGGGAAGTAGTCTCCCTCTCTTCTACACACCCTAACCTGAGCCTCACTATCCTCATAAAAACTCTTTACAGCATTTAGTAACTTACCACCTATTCCATATACTTGCAGCATCTGCCACACTGCTCCCCTATCCACTCTATCATATGCCTTTTCTAAATCCATAAATGCAATGAAAACTTCTCTACCTTTATCTAAATACTGTTCACATATATGCTTCAATGTAAACACTTGATCTACACATCCCCTACCCACTCTGAAACCTCCTTGCTCATCTGCAATCCTACATTCTGTCTTACCTCTAATTCTTTCAATTATAACCCTACCATACACTTTTCCTGGTATACTCAGTAAACTTATTCCTCTAATTTTTGCAATCTCTTTTGTCCCCCTTCCCTTTATATAAAGGGACTATACACGCTCTCTGCCAATCCCTAGGTACCCTCCCCTCTTTCATACATTTATTAAACAAAAATACACTTACCATCCGACTTACGACCTGCTCGACTTACGACCGTGTTTTTTATGCCAAATTTCTGGGAAATAAACAACTATTTGTGTTGTACACAGTGTTTATCCTAAACCTTACAGTATAAAATACAGTACTAACAACATAAAAAGTAAAGTAAAACATGAAATACCAAAATAAAACAATAAAATAAAGTCATTACAAAAATGTTTTGTTGATACACGGTGTAAAGTTGACTTCGCCTTTTCGACTTACGACGATTTCTCGGAACTGAACTCGGTTTGTAAGTTGGAGGGTAGGTGTACCAACCACCCCAACCTTTCCCCCCTGTTTTTAAACGTTTCTGTTATGATGTAAAAGTTAGGGGGTTTATCCCCACTGTTATGTTGGGATAAATACATTGTTTTTCACTCCGAAGAGGGTTAGTCCTCCGGGCCCCGGCTAAAAATTGGTTTTTTTCGCATTTAAAATTTTAAAAATTTTGTTTAAAAACCCCCACCCCCCCCTTACAACCCCTACCGTTTTTAAGAAAACCATTTTTCCAGGTTTTCAAGTTAAAATAAATTTTTTTTTTTTTAAAATTCTGAAGTCCCTCCCCCACTCTTCATCTGCTCTGTTTTGCACTCTTCCCCCACTCTCTTCCCTTTTTTTTTACTCTCCTTTTAACTCTCTCTTCTTATATCACTTTCCCCCCTTTTGTTTACTTTTGAACATCGGAAAAAAATTGAACTTTTCCCATACTTTGAGTCAATTTCAAGTTTTTTTCATTTTATTTCTGAAATATACCTTCCATTTTAAAGGGCCCAAAACTGCCAGTAAACCATAAAAAAAAATTAAAATACCCCGCAAAGGCTGTTTTAATCCCAAAACACTTGAGTTTTTTTCTCATTATGATGCTTACTGCGGATTTGTTTTTATGGGACATTTACCAATAGTCATTCGCTATTTAGGTTTTTCAGATTTCCCGCTCAAGTTTCTGGGTGAGTGAATTTTGGGGTTTTAGAATTACAGCTTGGACCCTTGAAAAAGGCATAGAACTATTTTTGGGCCCAAAGGGTTGAATAAAGCTGGTAAAAAAATGGGGTTTGTACTTTGAAGGAGTGGTGAGGATGTTGCGTTGAAGGTAATTTGAATTGTGGCTGCCCCCATTTTCGGGTGCTGTACAACCCTTGGGGTTTTAAACTTTGATAAAATTACTTAAATGACCTCTTACCCAGTAATACCCGGGTACAAGTTTCCCTTGCTTTATGCGTTTCCCTCATTTGAATTTGCTTTTATGTGGTGATCCCCCTTACTAAAAAAAATGTAATTTACTATATTCTGTTTATTTTTTATTATCTTTTTTTAAAAACCCCCCCAAAAAAAAAAAAAAAAAAATAAAAAAAATTTTTTTAAAAAAAAAAATTTAAAAAAAAAAAAAAGGCCTTTTTTAAAAAATACCCTTTAACTGGTTTATATTGACATTTATAGGGGAAAAAGGGGAAAAAACGGAAAAAGCAGAGTTAGGAATGGAAAAACCATTAGCATTTCTGATGAAATTCTATGGTTTGGTTTTTAGCTTTTTTTGCATTAAGTAATTTGAAAAAGGGGCATGCCTTAGTTGGCATGGTTGTGTAATCAGGTTGGGGTGGAGAAAGAAAGGAATAGGAAGATATTAAAAAGGTGAACCCGCAAAAAACGGTGGTTTGGGGGTGAGGGAGTGTGGGGAGAGAGAGGAGGAAGGGGTTTTTATGATTTTGATAGACATATGATATAGGAGGGGTTCAGGATATTGGCAGTTGGAGGGATATGTTGCGTATCTATATACGTACAGTGGAACCTCAAATATCGAACTTTCTTCGGTCCAGAAGGCTGTTCGAGTGCCTTTACCGAATGAATTTATTCCCATCAGGAATAATGTAAATTAGATTAGTCCATTTCAGGCCCTCAAAAATACACTTATAAAAGCACTTACAAAAATACACTTACATAATTGGTTGTGTTGGGAGCAGTTCGATTTTTGAGGTTCCACTGTATATGCTTCTGAGCTGTTGTATTCTGGGCACCTCTGCAAAAAACAGTGAGTGAGGTGAAAGTGTTGAATGATGATGAAAGTATTTTCTTTTTGGGGATTTTCTTTCTTTTTGGGTCACCCTGCCTTGGTGGGAGATGGCCGACTTGTTGAAAAAAAAAAAAGAGAGAGATATAGATAGATATAGAGATCTTCTTTCAACAAACCGGTCGTATCCCACCGAGGCAGGGTGGCCCAAAAAGAAAAACAAAAGTTTATCTTTTTAAATTTAGTAATTTATACGGGAGAAGGGGTTACTAGCCCCTTGCTCCCGGCATTTTAGTCGCCTCTTGCAACACGCATGGCTTATGGAGGAAGAATTCTGTTCCACTTTCCCATGGAGATAAGAGGAAATAAACAAAAACAAGAACTAGAAAGAAAATAGAAGAAAACCCAGAGGGGTATGTATATATATGCTTGTACATGTATGTGTAGTGTGACCTAAGTGTAAGTAGAAGTAGCAAAACATACCTGAAATCTTGCATGTTTATGAGACCGACAAAAGACACCAGCAAACCTACCATCATGTAAAACAAATACAGGCTTTCGTTTTACACTCACTTGGCAGGATGGTAGTACCTCCCTGGGCGGTTGCTGTCTACCAACCTACTACCTAGAAGATATAGATAGATATAGAGATAGATACAGAGATAGAGAGATAGAGATAGATATAGATAGAAAGATAGAGATTGATTCTGATAGAATTTTGGATTTTTTTTTTTTTTCACCATCTCTTTCCTTTCTGCCCCCTCCTGCTGCTTAGGGCCTTTGTGGTATACCACTCCTTCCCTCCCTCCCATTCTCCCTAGTTCCACTCACCACCACCCTTTCCCTTCCTCATCCTACCCATCTTCACTCCTTTCCACCCTCCCTCCGTAATCCCACCCACCACCAACCCTTCCCTCCCTCCTGCCATCAAAGCTAATGGCAGGAAGAAGCAAATATTTGTATCATAATTATTTTGCTGGATGATACCGATGTCCTCATTACTAATACGTATCTCAGAGTTATTTTCTTTTAAGTTTTAGCAAGATAAGAGCATAAAAATATGAATGTTACAGTGAGCCTGCTGACCTATGCCTAACCATTTCCACTCATATATACTTAGTGCTAACCAAGTTTCCATCATGTTTCCCAACATCACCATGACATTCAGTATGTTTACATAATTTATGTATAGCAAATGTTACAAGCATGGATAGCTGTTGAACTAATGTTCAAAGACTTGTAATATATTTGTGAATAAATACGTATAGATATGAGGATTTTTACTTTAAGCAGTTGGTTCTCACATAAGATTGTAAAGGCTCTATTAACCCTTTGAGGGTCGACAGGCCCTCTCTGAGACTCGTTCTCATGGTCGGCCAAATTTAAAAAAAAAAATAATTTTTTCTTATGAAAAGATAGAGAATCTTTGCCTGATCATAATGACACCAAAAATATGAAATTTGATGGAAAACTTACGGAATTATGCTCTCGCGAAGTTAGCGGTCTCGGCGATGTTTACGGATCGGCTATTTTGCCCACTTTGAGCCCCATTTTCGGCCAGTTCCACTGTACTAGTCGACAAAAAACATGAATATTTCACTAGAACTCCATTTTTTCTATTGAATGAGTGCAAGAAACCATCCATTTACCAATTTCAACTATCCAGTACAGTGGTCAGAATTTAGAAATTTTTGCCAATTTCACACAAATTTCAAAAGATCCCAAATTTCCAAATAGGGTCCAGAACAAACAAAGAAATACATTCCTGGCACTAAAATGACATTTCCTCTGTTCATTAGTCATGTCTCAAGGCCCCTCTTACATTCTTTTGCTTTCCACTTTGAATTTTTATTCTCACAAAAAATAGAAGATTTACTGTTATGCAGACTACTGCATTAGTGTAAAAAATGGTATGAATCTATTGGCACACTTGAAAAAGAATATTAGACTCACCAGTGACGTGTATTGGATGCTTGGCATGATTTGTTTACTTATGAACTTTGGTAAAAATTGAACATTTCTGCTACTTTGAGCTCAATTTCAAGGGACTTTTCATTGTTTAAAAAAAGTCAAAATCATCTCAATTTCTATGATATGCCTTCCATTCTATAAAATGAGACCAAGAAAACTAGAATACAACAATAAATACCTACGAAAATACAGTGCAAAGTCGGTTTTATTCCAAAAAAATGGTCAAAGTTTTTTTTTTCTCATTATGCACTGTGTGCTGCAGGATTTTTTTTATACCGTGCACACTGACCACATAGACCCATTCTTTCATATGGAGGCTACCAGCTTTCTCCCACTAGATTTGAGGGCGCTAGAATTTAGGCATACTAGTACATCAAAAACCCTAGGTCGTAAGCCGTACTAGTACGTCCGAAACCCTCAAAGGGTTAAAAACTGCTCCATAATATTAGGATTTTCTGGTATTGACTCTAAACATTTATTGAGGTAGACCTGTCTATGGCATTTGTTGTCAAGTAATGGCTATGAAATATTATATAAGTGTCCATGAATTGTGACCAGGTCATGAAACTTTTTCAGCTCTGTTTTGTTTGCAAGAATAAACAAAATGACAAATAAAAAAGCATTAGTTGTCATAATCAGTAAGACAGCTCATGGTTCCTCTTTTGGATGTAATTGAGAATATATTTTTAAACTTCTTGAAGATTGGTATATCTGTTCATCTCATTTAGGATTAAGATTGCTTTACATAGATGTCTTGCATCTCACAAATATTCAAATATTACAGAACAGATGGGATTGACAGTGAAGTGAGGGGCTGCCGCTTTTTTGGATTAACTCACCCTAGTGTACAAAATGTTCTGCAGGCATGCCCAGGAGCAAGAAAGTGTGCGCGGTACAAGTGGGTGAAATTTGAGGTAATTACCATATTTTTTATATCAAAGTTCATAACTGACTTGGTGTATGAGAAATGTTTTGCATGAATTATGTTCCTTGTATCAACTTTTCCTTGCATTACATATTTTGTTTTTGTGAAGGGAGCAGATTTTAGGATTTTAATTTCTATGCCTAAAGTGCCCATTCATTTTAGAAGGTAAAACGAGGTTTCACATATAAACTAATAGCAGTAATTAAACACGTACTTGGGAGGATTTTTTTTTTTTTTACACCTTTGTTGCTTTCTGCATTCCAATGCCAGACTTTCAAGGTATGATTCCCAAATAACACTTAGCATTCATTGAAATACAGATATTCATAAATCTGTTCATGTAGAGAGCCTAGGAAATAAACAAGATTAATGAAAGTTCAATAAATTTAACTTCAGTTAGAGAATTAACCAAGAGAATATAATTTTATTATTATTATTATTATTATTAGTAATATTATTATTTTTATTATAGGTAGTAGGTTGGTAGACAGCAGCCGCCCAGGAAGGTACTACCGTCCTGCCAAGTGAGTGTAAAACGAAAGCCTGTAATTGTTTTACATGATGGTAGGATTGCTGGTGTCCTTTTTTCTGTCTCATGAACATGCAAGATTTCAGGTATGTCTTGCTACTTCTACTTACACTTATGTCATACTACACATACATGTACAAGCACATACATACACACCCCTCTGGGTTTTCTTCTATTTTCTTTCTAGTTCTTATTCTTGTTTATTTCCTCTTATCTCCATGGGGAAGTGGAACAGTATTCTTCCTCTGTAAGCCATGCGTGTTGTAAGAAGCGACTAAAATGCCGGGAGCAAGGGGCTAGTAACCTCTTCTCCTGTATATATTACTAAATGTAAAAGGAGAAACTTTTGTTTTTCCTTTTGGTCCACCCCGCCTCGGTGGGATACGGCCGGTGTGTTGAAAGAAGAAAGAAAAGTGCTAAATCTTTGTCATAAAGCACTGCAGGGAGGGATGTGTGAAAGTTAAAAGTGAGCGAGAGGTAGGGGGTCTTTCAAGTTAGGGGTAGTGGGAGTGGGGAGTTAGTGTAAGTAAAACTGAAATCACAGCTTGTGTAATAGGTTAGTTTAGTTAAAAATTCGGAGTGACTGTGTCAGTGGTGGAACTTTAAGCAAGGAGGTCAGTGAGTGAGTGTTTTGGGGCAGTTTAAATGTCAGAAAGTGAATTGTTTTGTACACTTGATAATCAGGGCACTCCATCAAGATAAGTCAGACATTAAGACACATGTGCAACATCTGGGTATCTATATTGTAGATTTTTCGCCATCCAGTGGCTTTATCAATACAAATTCCAGGACAAAACTGAAGACAGTAGAACTATGTACCAAAGATGAGGTAATCAGCCCCTCAACCTTGGAGTAGGTGCGAAGAGCACCGTAGTCATAGAGATTCTGAAGCAGAAGCAAGGAGCCTGATGCTTATATACTAACGTCAGGTGGAAATGGGACGGGTAGCAGACGAGGGCATAGTCACTGGTAGGGCGGGATTTCCCAGTGGAAGTAGGTCCTACCCAAAAGATGGGGTTAGTTGTAGTAGTAGTTGTCGTAGTCTGAAGGTTATGTAGATGTCCTCAGAATCAAGACTCCATGATGTTGCAGTGTCTGACAATTTTGTATAAGAATGGTATACAATACCGACAAGATGAAATTAAGACACATGTGCAGCATTTGGGTATCTATATAGATACCCTATACCCTATGTATCTATATAGATACACCTACTCCAAGGTTTAGGGACTGATTACCTCATCTTCTGTACATAGTTCTACTGTCTTCAAGTTATGTCCTGGAATTTGTATTGATAGTCACTGGATGGCGAAATGTCTACAATATAGAAACCCAGATGTTGCACATGTGTCTTAATTTCATCTTGTCGGTATTGTATACCATTCTTATACAGTAAGTCAGACAGACATTGTGACCTGAGAATCCTCACAGAGAGGTGCCAGTTGCTTCTCCATGTGGTATCTGTGAGAGAGTCATATATGTCCAATACTTGGTCTTCCAAGCCCAGCAATGATGGGAAGACAACCAAAATCCAAAACGTGCTTTGATGGAAAACAATTTGTTGTGGTCTAATGCCGACCAACATTGTTACCAGCAGTAGCAGAGATGGTGAGAGAGCATTGAACGATAGTCCAAGTAAGTGGAAGGAAAAAAGAATTATCAGACATTCCCTGAAAAATGGTCTTGGGCCACCCTTAACTCACACCAGTTCATGGAAAAGGTGAATAACAGATGTAATACAAGGTCTGTATGAAAGATGTTGCACTGCAGAACCCTGCAGGTAGCTTAATTATTGAAAAATAAGGTATAAGAACATTCAGAAGAACTGATTAAATATGAATGTACAGTGGACCCCCGCCTTATGATGGCATCGCGTTACGTTAAATCCGCCATACGATACTTTTGAACGCAAAAAATTTCCCTTTGCCTCACGCTAAGAAAACTCGCCTCATGAGATTCGTCCGGGACACACCCCAAGTGTGGCCTCAGCGTCAGTGTTTACAAGCCAGCCAGTGTGGTCGCATCCACGCATATATTCGGTACATTTCACCTTATCCCATGTTTTTGTAACTGCAAAATAATCACCATGGGCCCCAAGAAAGCTTTTTGTGCCAACCCTGTGGTAAAAAGGGTGAGAATTAGTATGGAAATTAAGAAAGATTTTGAAGGTTTGGGGCTAACCCTGAGAAGATTAGGGAAATGTGTGCAAAGGGGGTTGAACTGCAAACCTTTATGGATGAAAAGCACCCTAACACAGCTATTGCAAGCCGTGCTGGTGACTATTACAATGACAGTGTTGTGGCCCATTTTAGGCAAATCTTAAAGGAACGGGAGGTACAGAGCTCTATGGACAGATTTGTTGGCGACAGAGGTCCAGTGACTCTAAAGCTGGTCCTAAGTGGCATTAAAAGAAGGGAAGTAACCCCAGAAAAAGACTTGATACCTCAAGTCCTAATGGAAGGGGATTTCCCTTCTAAACAATAACAACTTCCACACTCTCCCCTCCTCCCATCCCATCAGTCATCACAAGATCTTCAATAAAGGTAAGTGTCATGTATTCTATTCTTAGTAGAGTATTAATTGTGCATGTCTTCTTAAGTTTGTGTGTATTAAAATTAATATTTCATGTGGTAAAATTTTTTTTTTCAGACTTTTGGGTGTCTTGCACTAATTAATTTGATTTCCATTATTTCTTATGGGGAAAATTAATTCGCCTTACGATAATTTTGGCTCATGATGAGCTCTCAGGAACGGATTAATATCGTAAGGCAGGGGTCCACTGTACTTCTTTCTTTCTTTCAACACATCAGCCGTCCCCACCGAGGCGAGGTGGCCAAAAGGAAAACAAAAGTTTCTCCTTCAATTTAGTAATATATACAGGAGAAGGGTTACTAGCCCCTTGCTCCCGGAATTTTAGTCACCTCTTACAACACGCAGGGCTTACGGAGGAAAAATTCTGTTCCACTTCCCATGGAGATAAGAGGAAATAAACAAAAACAAGAACTAGAAAGAAAATAGAAGAAACCCAGGGGGGTTATGTATATGTACGCTTGTACATGTATGTGTAGTGTGCCCTAAGTGTAAGTAGAAGTAGCAAGACATACCTGAAATTTTACATGTTCAGGGAGAAAAAAAAGGACACCAGAAATCCTACCATCATGTAAAACAATTGCAGGCTTTCGTTTTACACTGGGCAGGACGGTAGTACCTCCCTGGGCGGTTGCTGTCTACCAACCTACTACCTAGGTCCACTGTACTTGTATTACAAAAAATGAAAGGTAATCTACACCAGGAGATTACAGAGTAAAAATTTAAAAAAAATTGTACCAGATAGAAGAAGTAAAAGGAATAAAAAGCTGTTTAGGAAATTGCAGTAAAGCCTAACTGAAAAAAAGTCCTTTAGAATTGGTTTACCAATAACAAAAAAAGAATGAAAAATTTTTGAAAAGACCAGTATGAACTGATGTCCTAGTCCCCTGAATGACAGGAAGGTGGAAGCCCCATATAGTTTTTTCATTATCTCTGCCCAACTTACAAATCATATCTGACATAAGCACAAATTCTCCTGAATATTAATACTAATACAATGATAACTAAGTGCTAAACTCGGAAGGGTCATACAGCACTGTCCAGAATTCTTAGAAAAAAACACACTAGGGCCTGATTCATGGAATTTTTTTTTAAAAGCAAAGTAAAAAAATATTGTAAGCACTCACTCTTCTTTTTAAGAAAGAACTAACATTTAGATGAAGTCACAGAGCTCTTAAGAGTGCATTATTATTATCATGGGAGAGTGCTAAACCCATAGAGATCATACAGCGCCTGTAGGTGGTGGGGGAGGGATGGAAGGCATTCAGGCTCAGTTCAGGGGACTGGAGCACAGATCCAGTTCCCTAGATCAAGAGCCCCTCATCAACATCAAGGGGCCTCTTAAGAGTGCAGAAATTGTTTTTCTGCACAAAGGTAGTAGTAGAGCTCTGACAAATAATTACAGATCAACGTGGATTTAGAGCAGATCATTCCTGTTGCAACTGTTAGACCATCATTACAAAATTATTTAATAAGCTTTGAAAGAAAACTAAATCACAAAAAATGGTCTGCAAGAACTTTGCTAAGGCATTTGATAAATACAATCATGGAGTGATAGCCCATAAAATAACATCAGTAGATATATTGGGAAAAGTGGGAAAATTAATATTAAATTTTCAAACTAAGAGAATACAGAGTACAGTGGACCCTCGGTTATCGGTTGTTCTGGATATCCGCCAACTCGGTTATCACCTGGTTTTTTGGCTGAAATTTTATTCCGGTTATCGGCTGTTATTTCGTTTATCTGCCATATTGGGCGCGTCCACCTGCCCACCACCGCTCACACGTTTGTGAGTCAGTCTGGCTGTGTCTCTGGGCAATAAGGAAGCTTCTGCTCATTCATCCAAACATTTCGCTATAATCTATTGTTTTTTGTGGTTATTGATTGAGTGCAGCTGCGAAATAAGCAACCATGGGCCCAAAGAAAGTTCCTAGCAAAGTTCCTTTGGTAAAGAAAGTGAGAAACATGATGGAATTTAAGAAAGAAGTTATTGAAAAATATGAGAGTGGTGTGCGGGTGCTGGAGCTTGCCAGGATGTTTTGGAAATCCAAATCAACAATCACTTCCATCCTGGCAAAGAAAGTAGAAATCAAGGAAGCTAATGTTGCAAAAGGGGTAAATGTGCTAACAAAACAAAGATATGGAAGATATGGAGAAGTTATTGTTCTTATGGATCACCAAAAAACAATTAGCGAGAGATAGTGTTGTGGAGTCGATCATTTGTGAAAAGGCTAGGCAGTTGTATGCGGATCTCATTAAGAAAATGCCTGGAATGAGGACTGCTGTTACTGAATTTAGGGCCAGCAAAGGCTGGTTCGAGAGATTTAAGAAGCGTAGTGGCATACACAGTGTTGTAAGGCATGGCGAGGCTGCAAATTCTGACAAATGTGCAGCCGAAGCATTTGTTGGTGAATTCAAGGGGTACATAGAGGCTGAAGGATTCCTTCCCCAACAAGTGTTCAGTTGTAACAAAACAGGCCTCTTTTGGAAGAAAATGTCAAAGAGGACCTACATCACAAAGGAGGAAAAGGCACTGCTAGGACACAAGCCTATGAAAGACAGGCTTTCTCTTTTGTTCTATGGTAATGCTAGTGGGGATTTCAGTGAAGCTTTTACTGGTGTATCACTCTGAAAATCCCAGAGTGTTCAAGAAAAACAATGTCATCAAGAGTAAATTGTGTGTGTTGTGGAAAGCTAATAATAAGGCATGGGTCACAAGGCACATTTTTATTGACTGGGTCCATGAAGTGTTTGGCCCCAGTGTGAAAAAATGCCTCCAGGAAAATAAATTGACACTCAAGTGTCTTCTAGTACTGGACAGTGCTCCTACTCATCCTCCAGACTTGGAAGATCAATTGTTTAGGGACTTAAGTTTTATAACAGTAAACTTCTTGCCTCCTAACACCACTCCTCTCATCCAGCCCATGAACCAGCAGGTCATTTCTAACTTCAAAAAACTACACAAAAGCAGTGTTTCAAAGGTGCTTTGAAGTGACCTTGGACACTGACTTGATCCTAAGAGAGTTCTGGAGGAATCACTTCAGTATCCTCCATTGCATAAGCCTTATAGGTAAGGCTTGGCAGGGAATGACTTCCAGGACTTTGAACTCTGCTTGGAGAAAATTGTGGCCAGAATGTGTCCTTGACAAGGATTTTGAAGGGTTTAGGGCTGACCCTGAGGACCTTATGCCTGTTGTAGAATCCGCTGTGTCTTTGGGGAAGTCCATGGGGTTAGAGGTTAGTGGTGAGGATGTGGAAGAGTTGGTGGAGGACCACAGGGGAAGAGCTAACCACTAAAGAGCTCCAAGAGCTTCATCTGCAACAGCAACAGACCACAGCTGAGGAAGTTGCTTCACAGGAGTAGGAAGAGAGAAGAGAGAATGTGCCTTCTTCAGTGATTATGGATATTTGTGCAAAGTGGAGGGAGGTGCAAACTTTTGTGGAGAAATATCACCCTGACCAAGCTGAAACAAGCCATATCTGCAACATATTCAGTGACAAAACCTTGTCCCACTTCTGGGAAATCTTAGAGACGCTAGAAACAGATCTCTCTGGACAGTTTCTTTGTGTGACAGGGGTGCAGTAACTCAAGCTGGTCCTAGTGACAGTAAAAGACAAAGAAGGGACGTAACCCCAGAAAGGGCTTTGATACCTGAAGTCCTTATGGAGGGGGATTCCCCTTCCAAACAATAATCGGTCATCCCTCTCTCCTCCTCCCTGTCTTCTATAAGCCAACAAGAGTCTTCAGTAAAGGTATGTAATAGTGATTTAAATTTTCATTTATTTATTTTATTTAGTTCTCATTGTTTTTTGTATGTAAAACTATAATTAATCTTTAAAAATGTATTTTTTTTTTTTTAATATTTTTGGGTGTCTGGAACAGATTAATTGTAATTACATACATTAATTCTTATGGGAAATATTTTGATTTTCAGCCATTTCGGTTTTAGGCCGACCTTCTGGAATGGATTACGGCCAATAACTAAGGGTCCACTGTAGTAGTAAATAAAGCTAAGTGAAAAAAAAAAAGGTACAGTACTCCTAGACACAGTCCTGGTGCCATTACTATTTCTCTTCATAACAGATATGGACAGCTTCATATCATCCTTTACAAACATCACCAAAATAAACATGCAAGTTTGAGTTTAATACTAGCTGATGAAACTGTTGCATCTTGCAAAAATGTAGTGATGTATTATATTTCGAGGAAGCGCTCAGTCCAACAGTGTTATACAGTGTCTGAGGGCCAGTTACATTTAGTCCTACCTTTCTTTTCTCTGTGGTAATTTCAGTTTTTTTGTTTAATTCTTTTTCTTGCAGAGTTTGTCCTTGGAGGTAGAGTATTATTATAATCAACACTAAGTACTAAACCCACAAGGGTCATATAGTCCTCATTGGAGGTGGAACACTCATTTCAAGCCATCGACCACGTTTTCTTTTCACCTAACAGGTGTGTCGCAGTGAAGCTGAAGTTGAAAGTGTATTTGAAGCAGAGAAGGAAGCCTCACTCTGCCATGAAGCACTGTTGCGTAACATTCGCTTTGCTCGACACCACGTTGCATCACCTTAATATTTTTTATTATGCCAGGACAACAGATATTGGAAAATAATATAATGAAGTACAGTACATAGATATTTATGAACAATAAATGTATGTATGTATTATTATTATTATTATTAAAATCAAAGAAAGTGCTAAACTGATTAATAATAAATGTAGGCAATATGTTCCTGTTTATATTTTCCTTTTTTTTTATATGAAACTTAAAAAAATTTCTATAATTCATTATGCAATCCCTACATTTTGCTCTACTTCCAATATATTTAGCTAAGTCTACAATTCGACTTGAAGCTTATTCTTATAACATTTAGTTCAGCCACAGTTATCAAAAGAATTGGTAGCTGCTTCTCAGAAATGCTTGTAGTAGTAGTAGAAGGTCATAGTAGGTGGTAGTTGTTGGTCTTCTTTGCAGTAGTCTGACTGGTCATTAATATTACCATAGTAAATACAGTTCTTATTTTACACAGGATAAGTTAGGATGGTAAATCATACACATCAGAGTTGATATTTATTATACAAATTAACATACAAATGGTGAGAAGTAATGATGGTTTTGTTTAGCTAGAAAGAAAAAATATAGTATTTAAGTCATATTTTACCTTCACTGACATCCAAGAATATTTTCAATTATCTCAAATCTCAAGCCTTTTAACAAAAGGCAAATGTATCCCTTTAATACTTTCAGGATTTTTGTGGATTTCATAGTTACCACAATTTGTCCATACTTTAAATATGATGAGCTCTAAATATTAAAAAAGAAATAAAAAAAAATATAATCTTGTTCCAAGAAATTGGAGTTGCAGGAAAGGGAACTATGAGGGGTAGGGGGAGCCATCCTTGATTAAGGACTGTTGATTCAAAAACACTGGACCCAGCCTTCCCTTGCATAAAACCTCATTAAAACCATGGTACAGGTAGGGATTGAACTCGCGGTTAGTAAGTCGTAAAACTCCAGACCAGCACGTTAGCCACTGGGCCAGCTGGCTACAATAAGATTCAGCTGGCCCTGTGGCTAATAGGCTGGTCTGGGGTTTTACAACTCACTAGTTGCGAGTTCAATCCCCGCCAGTACCATGGTTTGTTTGCAATCATATCATTACAACATCGTGAGTCAAAACCTCATTACCTCCCATTTTTCCATGGGTTTTGCACTTACCAATGATTGTATCACTATATCTCATTCCCCAGGAGCTTTATGACCTCCCATGGGTTCAACACTTACCATTGATTATGGTACCCTCCTGTTATTTGGATCAAATATGTTTACCTCTTGTTTCACAAGTGCTTTGTTACCTTTAACCCTTAAACTGTCCAAGCAGATCTACGTTCACATGCGTAGTGCTCCAAAAGTAGATCTACGTTTTTTTTACATATTTTCAAATATAACAAAAAAAAAAACATAGATCCAAGTTTTTTTACACGTTTTCAAATGTAAAAAAATAAAATCTACTTTTTTTACATACTTTCAAATGTTGAAAAAACGTAGATCTACGTTTGGACAGTTTAAAGGTTAAAAGTATAAAATCCAGGAATTAACTTCTGGACTTCATCAAAATTTAGTTAACATTCTATACACACACTGAACCAAGGTGGCATCATACATCTATGCCTAATGCCTACTTCAAATAAAAATAATAACCCTAAGAAAGTAATTATGTCCCTCGTAGTTTCAAAAATCAAATCACCCTTGATAAACTCTGGCACGAGTTACAATCCTTCCTTGTGGAGACTACAATCATATAGTGGAAAATTGGGTAGAAATTTAATCACAACACTTCCTCCTCAGATCAAACCCAGGTACTGCATGATTAGTATTTTATTACTAATACAATTTGCTAATTAATGAAGTAACAAAAGTCCTGTTATACATGAAGACAGTTGAGCACTTTTTCATGCATTTTAATTGAGCTATGTGTAGAAAGAGGTTTGGTAATAAGTAATACATACTTTATGAAAAAGAGGATAAATAAATATACAAGGTATGATATAGCACATAATGAAAGTAGTTTGTTAGATTATGTATTGGTGGATAAAAGGTTGATGGGTAGGCTCCAGGATGTACACGTTTATAGAGGGGAACTGATATATCGGATCATTATTTAGTTGTAGCTACAGTTAAAGTAAGAGGTAGATGAGACAAGAGGAAAATGGCAACAACAAGTATAAGAGAAGTGAAAGTATATAAACTAAGGGAGGAGGAAGTTCGGGTGAGATATAAGCAACTATTGGCAGAAAGGTGGGCTAGTGCAAGTATGAGTAGTGGGGGGTTGAAGAGGGTTGGAAATAGTTTTTAAAAAAAGCAGTATTAGAATGTGGGGCAGAAGTTTGTGGTTACAGGAGGGTGGGTGCAGGAGGAAAGAGGAGTGATTGGTGGAATGATGAAGTAAAGGGTGTGATAAAAGAGAAAAAGGTAGCTTATGAGAGGTTTTTACAAAGCAGAAGTGTTATAAGAAGAGCAGAGTATATGGAGAGTAAAAGAAAGGTGAAGAGAGTGGTGAGAGAGTGCAAAAGGAGAACAGATGACAGAGTGGGAGAGGCACTGTCAAAAAATTTTAATGAAAATAAGAAAAAAATTTGGAGTGAGTTAAACAAATTAAGAAAGCTTAGGGAACGAATGGATGTGCCAGCTAAAAACAGAGTAGGGGAGTTAGTAGATTGGGAAATGGAGGTATTGCATAGATGGCAGGAATATTTTGAGGAACTTTTAAATGTCAATGAAGAAAGGGAGGCGGTAATTTCATGCATTGGCCAGAGAGGTATACCATCTTTTAGGAGCGAAGAAGAGCAGGATGTGAGTGGGGGGGAGATGCGTGAGGCATTACGTAGAATGAAAGGGAGTAAAACAGCTGGAACTGATGGGATTATGACAGAAATGTTAAAAGCAGGGGGGGGATATAGTGTTAGAGTGGGTGGTATTTTTGTTTAATAAATGTATGAAAGAGGGGAAGGTACCTAGGGATTGGCAGAGAGCATGAATAGTTCCCTTATATAAAGGGAAGGGGGACAAAAGAGATTGTAAAAAATATAGAGGAATTAGTTTACTGAGTATACCAGGAAAAGTGTACGGTAGGGTTATAATTGAAAGAATTAGAGGTAAGACAGAATGTAGAATTGCGGATGAGCAAGGAGGTTTCAGAGTGGGTAGGGGATGTGTAGATCAAGTGTTTACATTGAAGCATATATGTGAACAGTATTTAGATAAAGGTAGGGAAATTTTCATTGCATTTATGGATTTAGAAAAGGCATATGATAGAGTGGATAGAGAAGCAAAGTGGCAGATGTTGCAAGTACAGTGGACCCCCGCATAACGATTACCTCCGAATGTGACTAATTATGTAAGTGTATTTATGTAAGTGCGTTTGTACGTGTATGTTTGGGGGTCTGAAATGGACTAATCTACTTCACAATATTTCTTATGGGAACAAATTCGGTCAGTACTGGCACCTGAATATACTTCTGGAGTGAAAAAATATCGTTAACTGGGGGTCCACTGTATATGGAATAGGTAGTAAGTTACTAAATGCTGTAAAGAGTTTTTATGAGGATAGTGAGGCTCAGGTTAGGGTGTGTAGAAGAGAGGGAGACTACTTCCCAGTAAAAGTAGGTCTTAGACAGGGATGTGTAATGTCATCATGGTTGTTTAACATATTTATAGATGGGGTTTAAAAAAAGTAAATGCTAGGGTGTTCGGGAGAGGGGTGGGATTAAATTATGGGGAATCAAATACAAAATGGGAATTGACACAGTTACTTTCTGCTCATGATACTGTGCTTATGGGAGATTCTAAAGAAAATTTGCAAAGGTTAGTGGACGAGTTTGAGAGTGTGTGTAAAGGTAGAAAGTTGAAAGTGAACATAGAAAAGAGTAAGGTGATGAGGGTATCAAATGATTTAGATAAAGAAAAACTGGATATCAAATTGGAGAGGAGGAGTATGGAAGAAGTGAATGTTTTCAGATATCTGGGAGTTGACATGTCAACGGATGGATTTATGAAGGATGAGGTTAATCATAGAATTGATGATGGAAAAAAAGTGAGTGGTGCATTGAGGTATATGTGGAGACAAAAAATGTTATCTATGGAGGCAAAGAAGGGAATGTATGAAAGTATAGTGGTACCAACACTCTTATATGGGTGTGAAGCTTGGGTTGTAAATGCTGCAGCAAGGAGACATTTGGAGGCATTGGAGATGTCCTGCTAAGGGCAATGTGTGGTGTAAATATTATGCAGAAAATTCAGAGTGTGGAAATTAGGAGAAGGTGTGGAGTTAATAAAAGTATTAGTCAGAGACCTGAAGAGGGGTTGTTGAGGTGGTTTGGTCATTTAGAGAGAATGGGTCAAAGTAGAATGACATGGAGAGCGTGTAAATCTGTAGGGAAAGGAAGGCGGGGTAGGGGTCATCCTCGAAAAGGTTGGAGGGAGGGGGTAAAGTAGGTTTTGTTGGCGAGGGGCTTGGACTTCCAGCAAGCGTGCATGAGCATGTTAGATAGGAGTGAATGGAGATGAATGGTATTTGGGACCTGATGAGCTGTTGGAGTGTGAGCAGAGTAATATTTAGTGAAGGGATTCAGGGAAACCGGTTTTTATATAGCCGGACTTGAGTCCTGGAAATGGGAAGTACAATGCCTGCACTTTAAAGGAGGGGTTTGGGATATTGGCAGTTTGGAGGGATATGTTGTGTATCTTTATATGTATATGCTTCTAAACTGTTGTATTCTGAGCACCTCTGCAAAAACAGTGATTATGTGTGAGTGAGGTGGAAGTGTTGAATGATGAAAGTATTTTCTTTTTGGGGACTTTCTTTCTTTTTGGGTCACCCTACTTTGGTGGGAGACGGCCAATTTGTTAAAAAAAAAAAAAGTGTATTCTCCATGAGGAAGTGGGACAGAATTCTTCTGTAAGCCATGTGCGTTGCAAGAGGCGACTAAAATGCAAGGAGCAAGGGGCTAGTAACCCCTTTGCCTGTATATATTACTAAATGTAAAAGGAGAAACATTAGTTTTCCCTTTTGGGCCACCCTGCCTCAGTGGGATACAGCTGGTGCATTGAAAGAACAAAGTGTATGCATCAGTGCAAGTTTTGAGTTTTATTTTGTCTCATCCCAATTTCAGCATCTCACTTGGCCTATGGTAACCTGATTATTACATTCAGTGAGGAGACCTAAACC